TGGTTTTCGAGGAATCTCTTGTTTCATAATTGTTGAGCTTACTTCCATTTCGAGTGAAAGTGTTGGGTTCAAATCTCTTCACCCAACACTTTTACTCGAAATGGAAGTAAGCTCAGCAGTATTATACTTTGGTTGTAAAACCCTAGTGCCATTCCTATTTTATGTTATGCTTTATATCTTTCTGTTACTTGATATTGACTTGAATATTCTTATTGAATACGGTGGTATCATAAAGTATTTCACTGGTAATTTTTACTTAAGTTTAGCCATACATTAACTGATTTTAGTATCGCCAACAGGTTAGCTAAATGCTTACTACCTACAACCCCTTATCCAATTGCTGTTTATGCCGCAAATGAGATGAATTCAACTTAGCTCATAATATTTATAGACTACAGCAATATTTTTTGCTTCTTGAGTCTTGTACTTTCTTATTAAGGTTTCATTTTAGTCCATTACCCTTTTATTTTTTAAACTTCAATTTATTTATTATTTTGCTCAAACCTAGTCATATTATTTTTGTTGGTTAGAATCGTACATCTGTATTCTGCTTATTCAGGTACTCTTATACTGTGATCCCTCGATCACTAGCTGTGGCAACAGTCTTCATAACACTGTCAAGTCGCACCCTCTTGCCTCGACTCATATGGTTTCAGCATTAATCCAGTTCTACATTGATGTCGAGTCTACTGGTGCCTCGAGTGAGTTCTACGATAAGTTCACTATTCGCTACAACATCGCCTGTCTCTTCATCTCACTTTGGCGTGACGGATTCCTTAAGAGCCACTTTGTCCGAGAGGCAGAGTACGTTAGTCTTCTTTAACTTCCTCATCTCCTTAGATTCCATTTACTATTTTCACCTCATTCCTTTTTATCTTCACATCCATAGTTTTCATTATTATTTTAAATTCTATTTTTCATTTTTAAATTGGGTTTTTTTTATTTAGAATCATTCTACTTCTCACGATCATATTTCATACCACTTTAGTCACCATAATGCCTGAATAAATTTGATAAAAAGCATCAGTAACCCCGTCCCAAGTTTATTCTCTAACTAGTTTTCTGATAAATTTTTTCTCCCTTGCGATATTTAGTTAACTATAGTAAAGCTAAAGTTGCTTAGCGTCTTATTTTCGGAATTTTTTATATATAGTGATAATGAGTATATTTAAACAGATAATGCTGTCATATCTGAATTTTATAATTCATTTTGACAGTTTAATTTACAAGCCCCTTATCCGCTTAATGAATTTATTTAGGATATTAATAGATCTATATTGTTTGTATACTTTAGAGTTTGAAAGTGTACCTTTTATATTATGCTTGTTTATTATTAAATGATCCTAATGAGTTAGATTTGGTCATTTTTATTCAAAGGTCGAACATACTTTTTCAGGATAGCCACTTGAATACAATTTGTTTAATTAAGATTGATTATAAGCCAATACATCTAAGCATATTATTTAAACACATTAATACATTTTGAGTTTCTGTAAAAGAAGATTATATACTAAAATATTATTATATTTTCATAATGGTTATAAGAATAACTTAATTGAGGAGGCCTTCGTTAAAAAATTATTTTAGTCTAGCGATTAAGTGCTAAATATACTTGTGTCTGAGATTGTTGAATTAGCTAGACAGATTAACCTCACCCCTTTTGGATTAGGCCGAAGCAATCTTCACTTTGTAAGCAAAAGGCGCTGCCTTTAATTTTTCTTTGAGCCTAGGCCAAATTATCTGACACTATTCATTTTTATGAGTCGAAATATTTTGTTTGCATGAAGAGTTGTTTCTATTAAATAAATTTCGTCAAATAAGTGTAAATATGCAGATCAAGTTGTTGTGGCCTTAGGTTGGTCGTAGTCTCCTTTAGTTTCAAAGCCTTAGTTTCACCTCTGTTTTTGCAACTTGGCAGAAGCAACAGGGAGACCTTGTGGAAAGTACCTAGCCCTGCATCCTATGCAAAAGTATTTTTAATAAATTTTAGCATCGTATCGTTGATTTGGTGTATTTCTGATGCAGGAAATCATTATGAATGGTATGGAAGGGGACAAAGGACTAGGTATGTTTCAAAAGATGTTCCTGTAGCTCCGATTAAGTTGCGAAAGCGAGATCCAACCAAAACTTTATGAAGGCTTCACTTTCAAACACCAAAGTTATTTGCTTCTGTTTTGCGATTTTGCTGAATTAATTAAGATTTTGTGCAATTTTCTAAAGCAGTTCATCTTTTTATTCAATATTAAATGAGTAAGGGAAACAAGAGCTTGACAAACCAATGGTAAATGATTATGATAATAGATTGCCTCAAAATATCTTATGCTAAAATTATCGCTTGGTTTCTTTCCTGCATAGGAATTAATTCATAACTAGTATTTTCTCTGTGATAATTTGTGGTTATACAGGCTCGTAGCTACAACTATTATTGTGAAAGCAAGTGTTTTTTTAGCTTTTCCAAGACTTAACTTTAGCACAGGTCTTATGCGATCGATTTTAGTATGAGCCATGCGGTCTGCTGATAAAATTTCTCTGTAGACGTTTTGCCTGATGAGTTCCAAATTGAAGAGCCTAAGGAATTATTGAAGTTGTTTGACCTTGTT